GTGGTAGCACAACAAGCCCCAAAGATGTAAGTCCAAGTCCTCTTGTCCAGATTATCATTTATGTAATATATGTTGCTGCAACATCAAAACAATAGATACCCAACAGTAAGGAATTGATTGTCAGGCTCCCTGGTGTGATTCCTACTTATTCATTTGGACACAACAATTTTAAAATATGAACACAGATAAAAGCAAAGAGTCAGAGATGAGTAGGTACCTTGCACAAGCTATGAGTTGAATGACAGATCCAAACAGAAGAAAAGTGCAGTTAAATGCCAAACCCACGTTCCTCCAGTGTTTTCCAAGGAGCCCATCAAGAACTTCAAACCACTATACAATTAAAAAAAAAAACGAAGGATAGAAAGTTAAGATTTTGATATTAAAAATTGCTTTTCACTATCATTTTTCTTCTATTTGAAGTTGTTTTGTATAGACTATAGAGTTGAAACCTGAATGACATGGTTCCTGAAATCAACTTTTTCTCTTTCTTTTCTTGTTCTATATTCTACATAGAGTATGCTAATGAGGTAAGCAGTCCAACTACCCATCAAACCATAAAACAGCTGAAAGAGAATGCCAGAGAGCATCCCCAACTGGGAAAATGAGTATGGCAACGTAAGCAACACTTGAGCCACCTGAAAAAATGAAAACCCAAGAAACCACAAATTTTAGTCTCTATCAGTAGTGCAAAAAGACTGTCTCATAGCTAACTTCAGAGCGGAAAACCAAAGATATGACAAAAACCTGATTAGAAGCACAGCTAAACCAAGCATCATAAACAGAACCACCATGCCAAAAGAGGTTAGAAATCCTGCTTTTCATTCCCTTAGGCCTCCCTTCAGTTTCCATCTCCGCATAATTCGCAACAATCACAGTCTCCACCTCCTTATCAGTTGCCATGATCTCTTCCTTCCTCTCACTTCCTCACAGTCTTCAGCTCTGTTTTATCCACTAAATCCTCACTGTCTTTCCTCTAATGACAAACTGGGTAGTATTGTTTCAGTGCAAAGAACAGGATTGTTAGATAACAGAAGTGAAGTTGATGAAGCAAAGAGTGTAGATATAGAGGTCATATATATACACGAGACATGAAGGGGGATTCCCAAAGAGTGGGAAAATGGCTGTGTTTGAAAGGTATTTTAGAGACGGGTTTTGGGAAGCGATTAAAGTCCACTTTTTACTTTTACAGCTTAAATGTTATCTTTCTTTTTGTGGTCTTTAACGAAATCCTCTGGTTTTTGAGCCCTTTCTTGTAATTAAAAATTTTGTTTTTTAGTTCATTGTTAAATGAGTTTAATCTTACTTTATTAACCAAAAAATGAATTCATAAGCGAGCATGAGTGGCTCCTACGCACGAGCGGGTCTCCCCGCTTCTTGAGCTTATTATTACATTTGCCTCTATGCCTAATCTAACCTTCATTTTTCATCATAACGCTTAACATACCATTTTACTATTAATTAAACTGATTAAGTTACATGTGTAAAAAATTTAAAATATTTTTCATCAAGATCGATACATGTATTTGCTTTATATACAAAAACAAACAATGTCAAAATAATAACTCCACACAATTTAACATTGATTTGATAAAACCTTTATTTTGGTGAGGATTTTATTAAAGATAACAACAAGAGAGATTGGGTCAAGAAAATTGAACGGAATTTTTCATTTCGAATCAGATTTAATTTTGTACATTAAATATATATATTTAATTTAATTTTAAAATATTATTTTTTTTATATTCAATTTGATCTGTATATATATATAAAATTGTAACCATTTCAATTTAAAATTAATAAATATTATTTTTAACATAAAATGTTATTTTTATATAAATCTTATTTTTTAAATATAAATATAAAATTAAATAAATAATAAAAAATATTTTTATATAAAAATTTTGATTCAACTCGAAATATAATTTTTTCTTTCAAATTCAATGTTATAAAATCAGATCGAATCAAAATATGACAGATTCAAGTTGCATTGCCAACTTTAGATTTTATTCTTTCCAAAGTGAAACTTTGATAAAGATAAAAATGTCATTGCAACTTGAAGGTCTCATTTTAGAAAGTTGAAGTATGCAAATTTTAATTAGTAGGCTTGAATTAGTATTATTTTCTTTAAATTATGAAGAGAAATTATGTTTTGACGACTAGAAGTAGAAGCGAACTCTACAATATATCAATAAATCTTTAGGTATAATATGAGTTTCAATTGCTTTTAACAGAAACAAGTAGTACAAGATTTAGTCCTCAAATTTTATAATGTTTTTTAATTGAATATGAACCATTTGTAAAGGGTTATGATGATAAAAAATATTAAAAAAAAAGCCATTTATGGGTTAAAATGTTAGAAGAACAAGGCACATTGGGGGGGGGAGTTAAAATTAAAATTTTAAAATAAAAAAGGTAAAGTATAAATATAAGCATAAGCAAGGGAAGGAGTGAAGGGAAATTATAACGAAGTAGACCGCATGATTGCAGGCAAACGGGCGTGGTCGCTTTACAAGAAGAAGAAAGGTGCTTTTATCACATGGCCAATGGCTTTGTGGACTCGAGAATCCATCTTCTTTCCCACATCCTAAAACCCAAACCCCAAAATTCCTTCTTCACATGGAGTTTACTCAATATATAGATATTGTTGGCGTATTTGCTTTGAAATATCCTTGGTGGTTTTTCGACTGTAAAAATATTTGAAACAGAAGAAAGAGTCAGCTTGGAGAAAAGGGTCTAAGTAAATGGGTTGCAAATGATAATAACCAAGTGTGCCAATTGCCATTATACCTACAAAATATATCAAACTTCAAGGTGTCAGAAAAAAAAAAAAAAGGACTATAAGGCAAAGATCAACAATATTGAATTTTCCCTTTGCAAGTTACTCTTTAGTCTTTACATTAATCTTTATTCTTTAACCATTTTCTCATGGCCCTGGTTTTCCTGTTTCTGAATTCGAGCAACTAACTCTGAAGATTATTGATTATCTCTCAAGCTATGATGATAAAACCCATCAAACTTGTGTTGATATCATTAAGTAAAAGCATGAGTTTCCAGGTCTTTAAATAACCCAAAAAGGAAAAAAAAAAAAAGCTTTTGGTTTTGGTGCAGTGCAACATATTCATGGGGCCTGTTGGGCAGCACAGCCATTCCTGATAGATCATGCTTTGCAGCCACTGGGACCGGACCAGAAACATTCCCTCTGGAACCCCTGTCTCCTTGACCATCTATACTGCACTACATAGCACCAAATTGCTGCCTGCTAACTTGTTCTTGTATCATAATCTTTGCCCTTCATCAAATTTGTATCACGTCTTCATGTTTTAAAAAATTTTTACATTAACAATTTAGAAGAATGAAAGGTTTCTATTCATCTCTCTGATTTCAATGTGAAGTGAACTAGCTGTTGACAGAAGGTTTTGATGAGTTCATCGCTGCGTTTGCTGCGAGTATTTGAAACCAAATTTCAATGGATAGTGACACTCGTTAACAACATCATTTCAAAATACCAATATTATGTGGTAAAGATGAAACACAGTATTTTTTTTTTCTCAACTAACTTCTCGTAATCATTGGAGTTAAATTCAGGTAGTGATTCAATTATTAAATTGATGATTTTGATCAGAAATTTGGATGGTGAAAGGGGAAAGTGCTTAATTCATTGAAAATAGTACTAATAATATAAAATGTTGATGAGAGTCGACAGGGCATGCTAATTGTGCTAAATTCTGTCTTTCGGATGCTGTATAAACAAGTTATTAGAACTTGGGCAATAAGACAAAAGGTAAAATCATTTCATTTCTTTTGTGATAATTTTGATTAACAAAAAAGGAATAGAGATCTTCCAAAAATGTTAATTTCATGTCAACCTGATTATGAACACAGAGACAAAAAAACATTAATAATGCAACATGGAATTTAATTTCAGCACGCCAGGGCTATAGCAGAGAAGATTGAAATTGAATGCAAAACTTTAATAAGATGATCAATAATTTTAATTTCATAAGTCAAACTATGATGATCAATAATTTTCCCTCAAATTATTGTTGGAATTAATTTGGGATGCATGAAAAATTGAATTGAATTCAACTAAACGGGTTTTTTTTTTTTTTAAAATCATAATCATATAAAAAATAACAAATGTTAAATTTTGATTTTAAAATTTATTGAATATTGTCTTTTAAAAATAATTATATAAACTAATTAAATTAATATATGGGTTCCACTTTGTTTTCTCTTTGCAATATAAAAATAAAATAAAATTCATGATGGCTGTTCATCAATTATGTCACTGTTAATATATATTTTGCTCTTTTTAATGATGCGAAAGCCAAATCAAGACAAGGCATCTTGCTTTTAAAGAACAACATTCAACATGTCATTAACAAGACAAATTTTATACCAAATTTAGTGAAAGATTTGGTTAATACTTATAATGTTTTTTTACTTTTAATCATGATTTTTCTTCAGTAATGATTAAGGCTCCCAACTGAGTCAAACTTTAGCCATTTCCTTCTTCTTTTCTTCATAATGGAACTTTGCTTTTGGAAACCTGCATTGACTTGGTATATAGCAAAACTGATTCAATTTGTGGTCAACCTCATTAAGAGAAACTTTGGGTTTCAGTCTCACCCTTTATGTTCCAAAAGAAGTTATAATTGGCTTGAAGCCACCCATTTATCAACAAAACAGAATGATGTTTGCTTTTCTTTGGTGGACTCCATTTTGGAAGCAAATTCTAGGACTGAAAGAATCCTATACTTCAGATAACTTGTCATTTCAATTTTTTTTTCCCTGGGTTACAACGCAACTAAAGCTGCATTTTTTGGGTCCATTTCAAAGCACAAGAAAGCATTTCAATATGTTATTTTTTATGTTTATTGGCATTTGAATTGACTCTATGTGCTGCAAGACTAGTGCTTATTGCCTATACATTATAATAGAAAAAGGTATGCATTAAAATCTGGTAGAAAAATCTCTCGCTAAAAGTAAGGCCCATGTTTTTCCAAGCGGGAATTATGGAGGCCCAAATTTGATTGTGCAACAAAGACCATAAAGTTGGGAACATACGTCAAACATTTGAACGGCTAAGATCAGCTGATTAACACAACCGAATAAACCGCAATATCTGACGTGGCTACAGGTGATTCAGTTAGGAGGCTTGTTTACCATTTATAACTTTTGTCCCGCGCTACATTTTGTTCAGGAACAACTGGTTTCTTCTTGTCTTTCCACTTTCCATTTCAGCAATTCTTTGTCTTAAGTTCTCAAATCCTAACATGGGAATATAAGTCACTGTCACTGAGCGGTTTGAACTTTGAGCAAAGGTACTGTAAAAAGAAACCGACCATATGTTCTCTGTTAGTTTGCTGAGAAAACGTGTGCTTTTTTTTTCTTTTTGCATGGAAAATTTCTTAATTCTTGTTTCTGATTTTCATATTACCCTTCTGATAGCCAACTGGTATAAAGATTTGTGAAATTTTATTAGCATTTTTGGTTGTATTGTTTCTCTTATCTAAGTTTGGTTAGGTACTTAAGTAGATTTCATTGATGGCTGAATTTGTCTTTGATGATGGGAACTGGGAAACAGACAAACTCTCAGTCTCTCACAAGATCTTATTTTTGAAGAATTTTCAAACATTTGAGCAACTGGCGGCCGATGGGAAAATATTAGAATTTAAGTTAAGATATTGGTCGTATATGATAAATTAATCTTCGATTCATGCTTCTTCACTGCGTTGTCTGTCGTAGAAAGTATGATACTGATGAACCTCATAATTATCCAAGTCGAACAGGGTTTAATTTGGATGACCCCGAAGTTGGCACTTTGTTTTCAAGTTTGTTGCTATCTTTGTCTACACTAATTTTAACATTTGAAATATACACATAACAAATTTTGTTGGGTACAAATAGGACACAGCTTGGGATAGGAGAAGGGGATGTAGGTGCTGAGCAGCTGCATGAATTAAATGAGCTAAGTTCCGGGTTATATATAACACATCTTTATATCAAGTGGGATCATTTGGGTAATAATGAATCCATTTTCTGCATTTAACATGGAAGCTTGGTGTGTATGGTTACTCCCTTGAAAAATGAATTCATTTTCTATATTTAACATGGGATTTTTGGAATCAATTGTATTTGTCAGCTCATTCTTCTTCATACTTTTTCAAAGCAATGATAGTTACTATTTCAATTGATGGCATATATTATAAGTTCTGTTTGGTGAATACTGTGGAACCTCATCATGCATTACCAACTTCTTGTTAACGACTTTAAAAACAAAATCTTCTTGAATGTTTGTGTTGTGTTTGGATAAAGAACTAGTTCACAATGGTAGGGCACTCTAATGCACCTATTTCAAAACTGTGAATCCACTGCATGAAGTACATTCAAAGAAAATAAGCTGAACCCGACTATCACATTAGTCTGAATCTAAAACAAGGAATATCATATGAGAGAAACCTTTAGCCATTGGTGATAACTGCAAATGTTGCAGCTGATAAACCTTATAGACAAGATGACCATCTCTCTCTCTCTCCCTTTTTGGTGATTATAGATTTTTTTTTCTGTAGTGATTATAGATTATTCTTTTTTCATGTGGGATCTCTACAGCATTTCAACAATCCATCTTTGACGTGTGCATGAAATTTTGTTTTTTTTTTTTGTGAAATTTTGATAAACTTTTAAACTCCTTCCGAAGGAGACTTGATTCAACAAAACCAATTTTTGATTAGAAACATAACTCAGTATAACAGCTTAGTTCTGTGGATCTATTGTATTTATGCTAGTGTTTCATTTTTTTTTTTTCAAATTTTGGTTAAAGAAATTTTTATTATCTTGACTAACACCCCTGTTAGCAAACAGAGTCCAGATGTCTGCCACACAGGAGGGAGTGCTAGGTAGGGCCAAAGCAGAATGGACTCCATCTCGTGATGCATATCTGGTGGAGCTTTTAATTGAGCAGCACAATTGTGGACGAACAGCCTATAATGAATTTAAGAATGAAGTGATTAGGTCTGTTACACGTGATTTTAACAAGAAGTTTGGCATGAATTTAGAAGAAAACCAAATAAAAAACCGCTACAATGTGATGAAGAAAGATTATGGTGTTGTTAAAACCCTGCTTGGCCATAATGGATTTGACTGGGATGAAACTCGGCAAATGGTTGTAGCTGATGATAAAGTTTGGGACAATTATATTGTGGTATGTAACATCTTTTGAAAATTATCTTGAATTTAGTAAGGGAATCTTATACTAATTCATTTTTATAGGTACGGAGTGAAGCTAGACCTTTCCGACGCAAGAGCTTTCCCCTTTATAAACAAATGTCAATCATATTTGAAGGTAAAATTACTTGATGAGAATAGAATACTTTTTTGGTGATACTTGCTTTCTCATAAATGAATAAAGTATTGTTTGGTCTTATCACATAATAGAGAATTTGCATGTTGGTTAAAAGCATGAAACTTGCTGACACTATTGTTGTATTTGAATTTTGCGAATGTGGTGTGCACCAGCCCACTTACTTTGCGTAAGTGGTGTATGAAAGTGACTGTCTACAAAGATCAATATTCCTTTTTTTTTTTTTTGGTATCTGTTGTAGGAGAAAGAACTACTGGCAAATGTATTCCAAACGGGGTTCCTGTGATAACTGAAGAGGGTAATAGCAACACAGAAACAGTCCGATCCTCAGATCCAACTAACGTACATACACAGGTAGTTGAGGGTACCCTTGATTCTGATTCAATAATTCGTATATGTGACAAACAACCAAAGAAAAGAAAGTCTGTTGCTCCAAGAGCTTCAGCTCATAAGAAAAGGGCATGCTATGATGCTGGTGAGACAATAGAGAATGCCATATATGAGATGTTTTCAGCAGTCAAGTGCAAAGCTTTACAAAAAGATGCATCAAATGAAAGAACATTGTATCAGAAGTGCCTGCAGGAGTTGCAGCAATTAGAAGAATTGAATGATGCTGAATTTACAAAGTCTGTTAATGTTCTCAAAGATGATAAAAATGCAATTGCATTCATGACAATTAAAGGGCCTCGACGTTTGATTTGGTTGAGGTCTCTATGGCAAGCATCCTGACCCTGAAACTGAAATGCGTTAAGAAGTTAGCTTACTTTCATACGCGAGTGTTACAATTTTTTTTACCTGCAGATGCCCTTCTGTTTTTGAGTACATTAATTCATATGCAAGACATGTTTGCTTATGATTCAAGAGACCACTTTACCTTTTCTATTTCTACTTATCATAACTCACTGGTATGTCAACATTAACTGTTTGGCAATCTTTTTGTTTCACATGCATCATTAAGTACAGAAATATAATGTATGCGCTTGTCACTTTGGTCTTTTCCGACACATAGATATCGTCATTGCTAGATGAACATGTGAAACAATTTCTACTTATGGATCTCCATTTTCAGCTTTCACTTACAGAGATCTCTAGCATATATGTATGCTTAAGCTTTAAGTAATTAAACCCAAGATTTTAGCCTTTACGTGCAACTTCAGGCAGGATATAGGGATCTGTAGACATATTCAATCTCTTTCTCTATTTACATTCATGCCAAATTGCCAATTCTGAAGTGTGACAAATGAATGGGTAAAAAAGAAAGAAGAATTTTTATCTGATGATTTCGTTTGGATACTGTGCAGCAATTGAGGATATTATTCGTTTGATTCAATCAATTAGAAAGCAAGATTCTTGGCATTTCACTCCGAATCAGTAATCACCATCTTTGCTTCTAATCAGCCATTCCAAAATTACCATATGTCACATCCATTCTTTGGTAAATCAGGGTACTAAAATCTTACCATCCAAGGTTTGTCAAATACTTATTTAGAAAAAGACATCAACCAGATTATATCAAAGCTTTAAAATATAAAAGAATTAGTTTTACGAGTTAATGTATTTAAAAAATTTTTAATATAATTTCTGAATTTAAAAAATAATTTAATGTAATACTTAAATTATGAATATATTAAAAAAATTATAAATATATCAAATAATTTTTTATATATTAATTAATGTGATATTTAAGAAATTATTTTTTATTTCGTATATCATTTGAAATTAAATAAGTTTAATAGAAAATATTACATTGATTACAAATTCATAATTTAAATATTATATTAAATATTTTAAAATTTTAAATATCATATTAAATATTTTATTATAATTTAGAGAGTTATCATAATATTTTTATTTATATGAAAAAAAAGAAACAAGGAAATAAAAAGAATTTTAACCAATGTAACGATATGACTAGTTTTAGTTATAAAGGAAAAGAACAAGGGCAATTCTAATTCGGATATTAAATTAAAATTTTTTATAAATTTGAATATAATATTAAATATTTTATTATAATTTAGGAGGAATGGTAACATTTAACCCTGGTTTAAATATTTTATTATAATTTAAGAGGAATGGTAACAATTAACCCTAGTTTTATTTGCATGGGAAAAAGAAATAAAAGAAAGAAAGAGACTTCATTGCTAAACAACACAAAATTAAGTAATTAACGACTAAAACCAAAATCAAAAGCCAAAAGGCCAAAAAAAAAAAACCCACAAACGCACACTCTCGAAGTCTCTCACCCACTACTCTCCTCGCAAGAAAAGTGAAGTTCTTTAGTTTTTTTTATTTTTGGCCTACTCTTTAAACTCAAACTCTATAATTCTCAATCTTTATTTCTTTAATGATGGATCGTCTTCATCTCTCTTCCACCATTGTTTCTCTCCTCTTCATCTCTCTCTTTTCAGGTAAGTAAACATTCAAAGACTCCATCTTTCCAATCCATGACCTTTTCTTTTCCCTTATTTGCGATATCTGCCACTGACCCTTTCCTTGTTTTCAATCGCAGAAGTGAACCCAGCTTCTTTCAAAATCGTCAACAAGTGCCGCCACACGATATGGCCCGGCTTTTTATCCGGCGCCAAGACAGCTCAGCTTCCCACGACGGGCTTCGTTCTTAACCCTGGCAAATCAAGAACCGTAACAATACCCACGTCTTGGTCCGGTCGACTCTGGGGTCGTAACCTTTGCGGCCAAGACTCCTCCGGTAAATTCGCTTGCCTAAGCGGGGACTGTGGCACCGGTCAAATTGAATGTTCCGGAAGTGGAGCCAAGCCGCCAGCCACTCTCGCGGAATTCACGTTAAACGGTGACCGAGGATTAGATTTTTACGACATCAGCTTAGTCGACGGCTTTAATTTGCCTATGTTGGTCGTGGCCAAGGGAGGCAAAGGCGGGAACTGTAGCGCCACGGGTTGCTTATTGGACCTCAACGGCGCTTGTCCTTCGCAGTTACGTGTGATGCGTCCGGGTGGTGCTGGCGTGGGGTGTAGGAGCGCGTGTGAAGCGTTCGGAGATCCCGAATACTGTTGCACCGGGGCGTTTGGAACGCCTGACGTGTGTCGACCATCGGCTTACTCGTTATTTTTCAAGCGTGCTTGCCCACGCGCGTATAGCTACGCGTATGATGATGTTACTAGTATTTACACGTGTGCGGGCGCTGATTACGTCATCATATTCTGCCCGCCTCCTTATAGCAGGTGAATTTTACTAACGAACTCTCATCCATTGTTGATGTTTCGGACACTTACGGCTTTGGTTAGTCACTTTATGTTGGTTTTTTTGGTCATTTCATCAGTTGCATGATTTGAGTAACCTGCCACGCTGGCATGTTCCTGAAAATTCGGCGTATTTTGTGGATGAAGTGCAGGTGTAGATCAATTCTATAAATTGACATGTGATCAATCCCTAATGATGCCGTAGGGTAATGGGTTGAAATGTTTTTTCTATCATTAATTTCAATGTCTTTATTCATCAAAGACACTTTCATGGGTGGAAAATCTACTCTAGTTTAGTCATTGTTTCGATGGATGCATTGAAAATTATTGAACAAAAATATAAAAAAAATTATCTGTAGTGTCTTAATAATACATATTGTGATTGAATTTAATTACATTTACATGATTAGTTTCAAAGTTTTGATTGAATCCTTCTAGTTAGGGTTTGCTCAGCTTTTGAGATGTAGATGACTCCAGGTATGACTTATTAGTAGGGAAAGAGTTCAACCCTTATCCAGTGAGTTTCGATCCAACCGGATATTTTAGGGTCGATTTTTTTTTTAATTGGATATCGGGTCGGATCATGTACTAGTAAAAAAAATTTGAGTCGGGTCGGATAGGGTGTTAGGTAAACCCCACCCGATATATATTATTTTTAATTATTTATTTAATTTTATATTTATATTAAAAACAGTATTTTATATTTAAAAAATAATATTTTATTGATTTCAAATCAGGTCGAATCAAGTACAATTTTATACAATATTGGATCAGGTCAGTTCGAGGTGAGTAAAAACCCACTCTAACCTGACCCGTTGCCATCCCTACTTATTAGAGAGTATGAGGCTGCATATTTTGGGAGCTTTAGCAAACAATTTTGCTGCTAGACAAGTGGATTAACAGGCTCAAGCCAAATGGTGCTTTGGTTGATCCATTGAACTGTAAGTTATTGGAATGATTCTTTTGAGTGTTTTGAGATTATTAGATATTATTTAAACATGAAAACCAGCTTGCAGGTGTTGATTGGAAAAGGAATCTTGATCCAGCTGGATCTTGAAACCCTTCTACTTGTAGTTCATGTGCTGTAAGTCACCGTAGATGTTTTAGAACCATTGTGGTCAGCGTCTTTGTGTAGAATTGGCTTCTTGATGGCAAAATTAGAGCTTTAATAATTCATCCAAAACTGGAAAACCATAATGATGGTGCCTTAAAAATATGAGATAAGGACCACTATCTGTCCCTAAAGAGGAGGTTGATAGGTTATTAGTAGTTTAGCTAATTTCAATTCATGAGGTCTGAATTTCTGCCATTATTTATTTCGGTGGTCCTCATTGATCAAGTAATAGTGATCTGTTTTAATAGAGGTTAGTGCATACGTTGACCTTGACACTTTAGTCCTGACAATCTATATTGTGAGCTGATGTTTTTATCAATCTTTTTGAAAGACAATTGTAATGTGTTCCTAATCTTGTATAATGTTTTGCGAATATCAAATTACAACCCGCTTTGAGTTATGAAAATGGATGTTTTAGAAATGCTTAAATGGACATGAACTCCATGTCGAGAACAATTTTCATATGTCCTGTGGTAGCCTTTTTCTCTGTTTTATCTGCTCGATATGCATACCCTTCAGAACAACCATCTATCTGTTAACCTATAGGACTTCGTGGTCATGAAAACATTAAACTAGTCTCAGGCATGCAATTTCTAAAGAAGCATATGTGAATGTACCACGGTACGTAGCTGCTATACACAAAGGCCAATTATAATTATTGCATCCTTAGAGTAACAAGTCTCTAAATTTACATTATTTAGTAGAAATACCTCATGAAACACTACGTATTTATTTGTATTTTGTGACAATTTACAGTCAAAAAGTGTTTGGTGCACGGAAAGATGGAGCACTGCTACCACTTGTGAGTAAGAGTATGATATACCTATCAAGCGTACATGCAAATGGAGCTTCATTATCAGGTCTGCTCCAAGTGCAATTTACCGCTCGTGCAGCCTCTTCTGCTATGGTTCTTTTCCTCTTTTGGCAACTTATTTTCCCATTGTGACTAACATTGGTCTGGACACTTCCAGGCAAGTAGTAGCAAGATCTAGCTGAAGATAATGCGTTTCTATCCTGCTCTTTGCTGTACCAGTTCTCTGCCAGCATCCGATGTTTATCGCTCGATAGAAAGAACTGCAACATAAAAATGAAGATTGCCTACAGCTATTGGGGTTTCCCGTTTGCCACAAGAAATGTTGTATATAGTTATCTCCCTATACTTGTTTTTTGATCTACTGGTACACGAATGTTTTAAATTTTTACTTTCAACGTAATACATGTAAGTTTTAGCAATGTGGAATTCTGAGCAACAGGAATCTGTTTTTTTTTTTTTTTCTTTTCACTTTGATGAAAATTGTTTCTTAGAACAGGTACTTGTACATGGATTAAACATGATCTTCTGAAGTGTTTCTGGTCTCTGGGATCCTGCGATCCTGCACTACGTTGTTGGGAACTTTCCCCTCATTTTAAACTTGAATGGCTGACGCAATTCAATTCTTTTACGGAGAATGAAAGAAAAGATACAGGGGAGACTTCGTTGTGGGCTTCCTGACCATACGTTTTAAGACTTCGTTGCTCTAGTGGTGGCCCAACTGCTTTGGAAGTATGGCAGGACCAAGGAATGTAAAAGGGAGGGACCTGTGGGCTACCTGCGTCCCAGCCTAGAGGACCAGAATCCAGCAATGGAGATTTTTAAGAAATTGGATTTTATTTGTGCGCAGAAAGTATTCTTATACTGAGAATGATTGATAGTATATCCATGTATGTTGATCGGATAGGTAAAGAGGATGGTCGAGGAGAAAAAATGGGATGGGTTGTGGGAACCTGAGTTGCTGATCCTGAAACTGAAACTACGTATCTGACACTAAACAGGATTCGTATTTAATAATGGAGAGATAGCTCCAATTAAATCTTCAAAGTTTAAACTGATACATTTAAAAATGCCAAATCCCCATCAGTAAGTACTTTTTAGTGGTGCCCTCTGACTGTGAGGGGAAACCTGGCCTGACTCCACATGGAGTTGGCTGGCACCCCATGCAAATTGCTCACATGAGCTGTAGCTAGCAATGACAATGCTGGACTGGACCAGTCAAGTGTTGCATCCCTACAACTCTCATCTTCAAGATTGCGTCAAGCATTCCAATGGGTCCACGTTATCCGTGCCTTATTTAACACCATAGATGTGAGATGTCTAACATACTCTGAGAAATTGCTTGCCTGGCCCTTGTTTTCATGCGCACAGGAGTGGCAATGGAAAATTGAAGGCAGAGATGCCTCTACTCTAATATCAATTGGAGTCTACTTTCAACTTCAGAGAAGAATTAGGCCAGTTTAGTATAAATTGGAGTATAATTTTCCTTTTCTTTCTATAAAGTTCTATGCAACCGATTCCCCCGTTGTACCTACAATTTAACATAATCATGGTATAGATTATAGGGTAAGAGTATGTGCAATTAGTGCTTAATTTAACATTTCTCAAGCTAAAACAAACTCTTAGCCCCTAAAAAACAAAGTAGCTGGCTGTGGTCTCCAATCTATATATGCCATAAATGAGTGGATCCATCGGCATTTTGGAGCCATCAAACTTAATTGGGAACGCAATAATAAAAAAATAATGAAGGATAGGGAAAACATAGGCGTCCACTTGGTTGGATTCATCCACAAAGTCTGCTACAAACATGGAATGGAAGGGAAGCAAAGAACTTGATAAACATAAACTATAAAAAGAAAATTAGTGCCGAAAATGTTTTTATTCTTTAAAACTATCAGCCGTTCGCTTTAAAGAAAGAAAGATATGGAGCAGACAAAAGGAAAGAGGATCAAAGAATGGCTTGTCTCCAAAGGCATAAAGTGGAATCATAGCCACACTTCACTTTTTGACATCAGAAAAAAAAGAGCACCAGCCGTTTTTGCCTTCAAACTTCTTATTATTCCAGATAAGAAGAACAAAGCAACCATTGGTTTCTCTCTTCTCTCAGCTAATGAAGTTTATGTTTAAAAATATAATAATATAAGCAAAACAAATGCCATATATATATATATATATATTTATGTAAAGTAAATTATAATAAGATAAAAAAATTACATTACAAGTATTGAGAATTTACTATCTTATGGAACATAAGAAAAGAGCAATCATAATTCTAATTAAGGATAGTTATAGTACTAATCATGGCGTCCTAATCTTGCAGAGCGCACGCAGTTAGGTCAAGCCCCACTGTACTTTTAACTTATATAAAAGAAATTTTGGTTGGCCGAGACAAATCTTTCTTATACATCAATGGCCATCAAGCATATCGCTCGATCTGGCACAATCTTACCAAAACCAAGAATAATTTGTCTCTGGAAAATAATAGTAATAGTACTGTTCAGTTAGAGAGGAAGCAGGAGAGTATCCTTGAAATATTTGGCATTAACTATCACCTACCTAAGTTGAGTTTTGGTTAGATCCCATATCATAAACCCTATCATTAAATGCAGCTCACTTCAATTTATATAGATTTTTCTTGAAGTTCAAATAAACTTATCAACTTATATTTATTCAGATTATGTTATCATCTCATGTTTATAAGGTTAAAAAAAAATTTAGGAATATTATTTTAAATCTTTTGTCTTCAAGCTTTTTAAATAATTTTTGTAACTCATGGTTTTCCTCTTTAATTTTGACTTCATACATTTTGCTAACTTTAACATAGGATCACGCTCCAAAAGTCAAACTTCAACATCTTTTTAACCTTCATTTTTCTTATTATAAATCCAAATCATTCTCCAATCACCTCCCAACTTATTCCTCATTTCACCTCTATCCAAAATAACCTCATCAGGTCTTCTTCGTAGTCATTCAATTGTGGCAGAGTTACAAAAGGCTTTGACAAACGCGAAGGTGCTTCAGTAACTGCATGGGTGATGGGTCCATAACACATTGCAGGCGCTCACAAGGAAAATAGAAGGCTAGGCATAGCTAGATGCCAAGAGATTGAAATTCTCCTTCTGTTTTTTTTTTTTTTTTCTTGACAATAATTGAATGCGTATTATTTATTCAGAGCAATGAACTCAAAACTTGAAAGGGAAGAATCAAACAATTGTGAAAAGAATCCATCTGAACAATGAAACCAATTGCTATTTCTCTTTAATATGATGAAGATTCAAATCTTCCCTTTTCTTGATATGCTTACATAAAAAAGAAGGTTAAAGTATTCAAGCTTTAGGTTCGAATAAATTTGCTTGTGAGACTGAGGAGTTGGATTATGTAGCACGATGATTGAGTTTCTTTATTTATAGTTAAAGAAGCTATACATATTAAATGAACGAAACATTTTTATGTAAACATAAAGACGAAAAATTATAGTTCTTCAAACTCTTGTTTCCACCATAAGTAGGAGAAGAAATTTGTGCTGGATTTCATGCACATCATGGAACACGACTTTTTGTTGCAATTGCTTGGCCACCAAATTCCATCCGATCAATTCAAGCATACGTTTTACACTGTATATTCACATGGGACTGGGACTAACCGACCCCATCTGTCCTGGTTCATGTTCTCTGAAAAGTTCACTTTATGAAAAGTAACTTGATGGCCCATTGACCTTTTGCAAGTAGATGAAAACAAACAGAAAGGAAAGAAACACTATTTGTTTTTCGTTTGGGGTTTTGGCCAATGTTTCTAAATCCAATTAATTTTAGGGATGAATAACTTGGCTGGCTTTCGGGTTAAATCGCCTATGTAATCCAATGTCAAGTGGATGGCTTCCTCAATGATGTCGATAGTTAAAAAAAAATAGCAATATCTAATTATTATGTACTACAGTAAAAGAGAACGCATATCTCTTGGCTCAATATTTTTGAAACCGGACATCCAGAAGACAAAGTTCCTTGTTTCCATATCAGTTCCAATAATTATAAATAAAAAGTAGTTTTCATCGGAAAGTATTTTTTTCATTTTCTTTTTAAATCTTCTAAATTGTAGTAGTAATATATAGCCTTCTTCTTCGAAAGTGGAGGGAGTCAAGTTTAAGTGTGTTCAGGATTGTTTTGAAGCTGGTAATAGATGTTTGGTCCATAAAGTCTCTCGAAAGACGGAGGAAAGTTTTGCCATTAGTGTATTTCCCTCCAACATATACGTAGAAGCTTGAAAAACAAAAATGGTTAGCTGTTAAGCATCTTTTAACTGAAGTCCACAGCAACAGGTTGGAACTGGCCTTGGTCCTGTTTCCAGCAAAATATTTTCTTGTGCCTGTTCCGACTACATAGATTGATGAAACTTAGAGCTGGATGGCTGATACAAATTTTCTTAAATTATAGATAGGATTATGATAATCTTTTTTTTTTCGTACTCAGTAAAGAATTTGGATGAAAAATTACTTATCATTCTTCTACATTTTTAAACCGAGTAATTATGGTTAGGGAAAATAACTTTTACACTTTACCACTATATTGTGCTAATGCATTTGTCGGTGGGTGAGATGATAATGGATTTGCCCGAAATATTCATCTTCCTTGTGTTTATTTTTGGGAGGCTAAGGACAGTTTCTTTTGTAAAATTTTTTATTAAAATTGATTAAAAAATAAAAAGTTAATCTATGGATTGAAAACTTATTTTAGGATGGATAGATCAATGATTTTTTTTCATTCAATTTTGTCGATTTATAGAGATTTTAAATTAAAATTTTTATTTAAAATATTCATTTAAATCTTGCACGTGTCGTCGGTAAATTAATTAGTAGGAGTCGCTTAATTTTTGGGTTCGAATTTCCTACTTTTAATTTTCTGACCTTATAATTACCATTTTCAAAATATAAGTAAAAAAATTATGCTTTTTATTGAATCTGCAATAGCAATACATGAAAAGACGAGAGCATCGAATCCGATGCGTTTCTCATAATTGCACTTCCGTCTCCAGCATGGCACCCAATTCAACGGTCAGCTAAACATGACCCGGCGTATAACAGCCAATAACAAGTTGCCACGTATCGTAATTCTTCCATCTCTGATCGCTTTTTTTGTAATAATTGCGTGATGACAGGACAAGTGAAGTTACAGGTGTCACATCAAAGGAAAAGGGTATTGGTGGGTGGGACCTCCTGTTTGGCAAAGCTTCATCTCTTTTTTTGACTTTCTCGTTTGGAAGAGGAAATCACGCTGTGTCGTACAGGTTCGTTGTGTGGATGATCGCATAGGAACACACAATTTATTGAAGTATAAATAAATAATTATTTTTAGTTTAGATTTTACTATCACTATTAATTAATTTTAAATATTAATTTTAATAAATTTTTTTAATTATAATTATGATAATTTTTGTCTTAATTATAATAATTTGTATTATAATTTTTAATTTTATTAAAATTAATTTTATTATTCTTTCAAATAAAATTTTATCGATTTTAATAGATAGCATGTGACCTCTTATATATATATATATATATATATATATATGATCTTATTGATTAGTAAATTATTAACTGTGACATTAAAACTCAAGCATCTAAAGGGTGACATAATTTAGTATGTTGGGAGGATGGACTCTTGCCTTAAATTCCATCCTAATAAAATTAGTTATGGGTAGATTAAAAATAATAATAAAATTATTATAATTATAATTAAAAATTTTTAATAAATATTTTATATTAAATAAATTTTATTAAAATTAATATTTAAATTTAATTAATTATATAATAAATTTAATCATATCACAAAAAAATATAATTAAATCCAAATCGATACTTGATTAACAAAAATTACCTTATTGTATTTCACTGGTATCATTATTTTTGAGAAAGTATGAAGTCCCTCGAACTTATAATAGGCTGGACTGAAGTACGTGAGGTTTGATTGAATCACATCTTATTTTAACACAAAAGATTAAATAATTTATTTATATCAAATTAAAAAAAATAATGAATGATTTTTAAGTTTAAGGGTGTAAATGATACATTAAAATTCATAAATTATTTGGATTCGATTCGAAAAAAATTTAAATTCGATGCGATTATTATCGAGTCGAGCTCGATCGAATCAAATTTAAAAATTTTTATATTCGACTCGAGTAGCTCGTGAGCTTAATCGAATTTTTATATTTAAATATATTTTTATTATTTTAATTAATAAAATATTTCGAGTTCGAATTTAAATTTAAACATAAATAATTAAATTTTTATTGAATATATAAATCAAATTTATTTTTACATATTAATTTAATTTAATCGAGTAAAC